TTTTGAACTATATTTATTTTATCTAAACTTTGGGATCAATCAGCCGTATATTGTTCAGAAAAATGACCATTGATATTTTCCGATTCCGGAGAGGTAGCCTGAAAATCAGCTACCAAGCCCAAGGCAGCAAGCGCGCAAAGGATAGTTACAAATAAGGCAGCAGGCGCGCGTGTTAATAAAAAAAGTCTTTTTTCAAATGAAGAAATACATGTGAAGTGAGTTCGAATTATATCAAAGAGGTTATGCACAGGCCATCTGCCCACGAATTGATCAAGCCATAATGTCCATCGTCTGCCCGCTAATAGATCAAGCAATAAAGTCGATAATTCTGTCAAATACAGATCCCGACCTTGAGAGTTACAAACAAACATACATACATACAGGTGAAGCTAATGTAAAGCGTGTAATGAAAACTTCATAGAATAAAGTTGTTTAGAATCAATCTATCCATTTTTGAAATTGTTATTAACGAAACATTTTTCATTACTAAGAAGGAGTGTCGTCCATCCCAAGGATGATAGTAACCCTCGGTATAGGGCCAACCTTGAAGTAGATAGACTATTGGACTATTCCATGCTGGTTTGGATTTTTTTCAGTAGCAATTCTAATCAATATTGGAGGTGATGTGGCCCCCAAAATATCCGGAAAGTACTGTTTAGCAAATTACTAACAGGATTCAGGATTCAGAAGCACCGCTGATTTTGGTGAGAAAAGACTAGCTTCAACGTCTTGATGAGAAGTCTATTGGTAGTAGAAAAATCCGAAAATCATTTCAAACGAACAACAACATAACCAGAGAGTAGAGGTTCTATTATTTTCATGGAAAGATGAAGAATGGTTTACAAAAGTATCCAGTGATAGGGGTCACTTTGAACTTCCTAAGAAGAAGCACGTGAGTCCTGTGAATTACCGTAAATTTCCCTCAACATTATATTCCTATCAACATATTAGCTTCAAATCGGTCTTGTGAAATTGAAAGGTAATTTTCATGTATAAAATAATTCCATAATACATACTGGTGAGAAAATTCAACATTAGTCAGTGTTCCAATTTTGCCTCGATTTGTCCATCTTGCGATGAAACTCCAGGCCTGTTCATGCGGGAAACAACCAAAGAATAGTGCGAAGAGGCACTAAATAATTAATGAGGGACGCTTCGAGCTGAAATCCACAATGCCGTATCGTGCACAATGCAAGTTCATCTCATCACAACGACAATATTTTGGTTTGCAGGATCGTCAGGAAATCCTTATATTATAGCAGCATTCAACAATCTGAAATTGATTCAGTCGTTGATTGTAATATTGTGTTTCAACCTCCTATATTTTGAGAGATGATAGATACCTTTAAAGATATTGGATTTGCTTGTGATGAAAAGAAAAAAAAACACCCCTTATTTGATTTAGTTTCAATAATTTCACCTATAACTAGAATATTCTATACAGAATATCTCATGACAAACTGTTGATCTCACGTTGGCGTGTTACTAAAATATCGTGGTCTAGTTTGTATTATTGATTAAATCATGAAATCATTTCTTCACTGTTGGTTTTGGAATTTGCGTGACTCTCCTGAGAAATTACCTCAAATATGTTTCAGTGTAGAAATATTTATGAAAAGAACTTTGTTCAAGAAAATGGATCGATAAGATGATATCTCATTTTCAGGATACAGCCGATTTATTGATATGAAAGAGTTTATGAGATCTAGAAACATGACGTTTCCATTATGCTTTATTATTTTCATTATTCTTTGAAACCCTATAAATATATGTTGAAAAAAAATCCTCAAATTTCATATTAAGGGAAACATCTGTCACATCTGATACACCTACTATCTTCTCCTAACCAAAAACGTTCATGAGTCAAACAAAAACATCGCGAAATGTCCACTTGATTTTTCTTGCAACTAATCTCAGCTCATTACCTTTCACAATCTGAAAATTAAACGAATCTGAATCTGCTGAAGTGGTCAACATAAGAATGAAAAGTTCACCTAGAAGAGTTATATGTAATATGAACAACTTAAAAATTCAATAAGTCAGTAGAGAAAATCATATACAAGCTTAAGTCTAGTGCAAAAATATCACTTTCATATAAAACATTTTCTGATAACTCCATTTTTTCATCTCGAACTTTTAACGTAAGCCTGATGTAACAAGCTCTGCAACAGTTTACATCGGAAGTTCTCAAACTTATTTTGTCTACCACCCACTTCGAAAATTAATTATTTTCTAGCGCCCCCCAAATTTTTTTACTCTACTACATCTTAAGAATCACAATCGCAGTCATTATTTCAATAATTAAATTATGTGTGTCATGTGAAAATGAGACTTTCTGATGAGGGTAATGTAAAACACCATTTTGTAATATTAGGAAAACTTTTATTCATGTTATTAAAACAAACATTTCAATTTGAATTTTAAAACTAATTCAATGTGAAGGACGAATTTGATGATTAACAAGTTCGTTAATATCAGGCTCGAATTTACTCAAAAACAGCCGTAAGTCACCGCGTTCGGTACTGATTTCTCTTTTTAGTTGGCAACGTTGCCATAGCTTCAAATCCACGATCACACGTGGGAATGCTATCAAAAAATCGTTGAACGATGGACCACAATCCAGGGTACAATTGCGGGATTGGCTTTTGTAGCCAAAATTCTTGGTATCCAATTTTGAGTTTTATTCTTATTTCCTCGTTGGTTATCAGTTCTAGAGCTGTGGTGATACTACTGTGTTGACATTTGAAAAAGGATCCAACACCCAGTCCGGTATTTCCAATTTTAAAATGTCCTGAAATCATTCTGCGAAATCACTGTGGAGGTTCTCCAAATGTTGGCAGTAAACAAGCAAGTCATCGTTGTTGAAGAATACTGCTGATAAATTAGGGAAATTGCGAAACTCACGTCTGCCAATATTATTCTTGTAAAAGATCAATTTGGCGACAAAAGCAGCAATGTCATTTTTTGTTTTAATCAAATTCAAGTCGTCACCTTGAAGTTAGAGATTGACATAACCAAATAATTTATACAGGTCTGTCAATTACGCAATATCATTCTTTGAAGTGATGAGGTTGTCGTGCAATTCTTTGTCTTTGTTTTCCAAGAAATCTATTACAGAGTCAAATAGATTGTGAAATCGAGTCAGACAGTAACCTCTTGATAACCAACGATCTTCTGTGTGAAATAGCAATCGATTGAAATCTTCATCATCACCAACACAAAGCTGATTAAATAGTTTGTCAGTTAAAGGGCTCTTTCGGATTTTATTGATTGCTTTGTTGATATATTGCAGTGATTGAGAGAGGCGCTCACTCAAATTTTTCGTAACCAAATGTTGCCAATGAATGACGCAATGTAAAGCGAGCTCATCTGGAATTTTATTTTTTAAGTACGTTATGAAGCCTTCGTGAAGTCCTGTCACAGTCGGAACGTCATCCGTAGCAGCTGATATAATATTCTTCTGTGGAATTTTTTTCTCATCACAAAATTCTTACAGTGTATTATAGATTTCTCCTTTTGTATCCGTCTCTTAATTTCTGGCAAATATTTTCTCATTTTTAATAAACCTCACGTATGACAACAACAATGCTTCTTTGGTTGGTAAAGTGGACTCATCTAACTGAATTGAGAATTCAGAATGTTTTCAGCCATCTCATCAATTTGTCTTTGCACGGAACTATTGCTCAAAGGAATTTTTCGGATATCTGCCGCAGGTTTATCTGTTTTCTGTTTAAAATCTGTTTTTCCGGTAACCAGCTGTGACCCCCCTACGAACGACAACCCTCAGAAGTCGAAACTTGTGCGAGCTAACGATTAACGAGGTCTCACCTTTCAACGTGTGATTATTAACAGCACATTATTCCTATGAAGCACAGTATTTATTACTTTTTTTATTGCCGGTAAAATTTAGTCCTCCCCAATAATGTGAGGTTTATCTGTTTGAGCAATTAGCATGGAGATATTGTAGAAAGCTCGGAGTCCGTCGTCGTCTGGCTTAGAAGCCGCTGAAAAAAGTTTTGACACAGTTGACTGAGCTGAGTGTTTCTCTTCCAGTTCTTGAAAATAAGTCACAATTTCGTCCCTTTCATCTGAATGCATTTCATTCAAATGATCTTGTAGCCTTTAAGGTTTCCTCGCTTCATTCGAAAATGTTTTTGACAAAAATGGCACACAGGCGAAGATGGATTTGTGGGATTTTCAATAAATCCATATGTTACACATTCCGCGCTATACCGCCGTTTTTTCTTTTTTGCTTCCGACATAATTTTGTCTTCAAAATGCCGAAGCAAAGATTCGAGTATTAAACACTTACTAATGACACCACTCACAGCATTCACCACCGCACGTACAGCACTTTACCTAACTGGTAGCTAACTAAATTCACTTGTTTTCGTAGTATCGTCGAATGACATTACTGGCTGGATGGCGCGCGCGCTTTTATATGAGGCAGCGGGCGGGCCTAGTACTTGCGAAAATGGAGACTGGACACTTCTCGCTTCGCATTGAAGCTTACCACCATCTATACAGGTTGACAACTATCGGACAGGAAATAGTTACTAGTCCCTTAGATGGCATTACACGAGGGAACGCGCGTTAAGCGTAAATGAGCGGCAAAGTTTGTGTTGAAAGCAAAAAAACATTATCATATAACATAGATAAACTTGAATGAACTCAAATCACTACAAACTACTGAAAGGGGAGTCATGAGTTGACTTTCCAGTCAGGACTACTTATTTTGACTCTGGCGAAAAATAGTTTTGGGAATAAAAGTTCTAAAACATGTTCCTGAACGATTTTATCTTCAGCAGACCAATGTTCGTTGAGATTATCAGTGATTATGAAGTGATTTTATCAAATCTGGATTGCGATATCTTGTGGTTCATTTTTCATCGCAAAATATTCATTATTATTATTGGTAGTGAAATGAAACAGTATCATTCGAATAATTTCCTCTCACCTTCTTAACAGGAATAGCTAGAAGTAAAAAAAATGCAACTTACGGCTGGAAGAGCGAAGAAAGAGATAGCGAATACGCTGAAACAAGAGGCAACAATTTTGCCCATCCACGTTCTGGGAACAGTGTCACCATATCCTATTGTCGTAACGGTGATGACTCCCCACCACAAGGCATCGGCGTAGCTTGAAAAACTTCCAGTATTTTTTCCTCCGTCTTCTTCAACTGCGTCTTTCTCAGCTAAATACACGAAGTAACTACTGAAAATGAGACCCAAAAATCCGATGTATAACGTAGTGATCAGTTCCTGTAAATGAAAAGACAAATTTCAGTATTGAACAAAATTGATTTAATCACTTGAAAGTGAGAATGTTGATATTTCTAGTTAACCAGGATGGGCGCTGGTAGCCTAGATCCATTACACGCTTTCCCTTATATAAGAAGCAATCCATAGTAGTGGAAAACACAGTTAAACCTTACAAATTACCTGGATAGTTGCTACGTTTCTGAAGAGGACTTCAAAAATTACTAACCAGTTTCATACATAACTGTAAGCTAGGTGGAATATCCGGCGCATGCGCAGTTTGTAACCACCACTACGTCTCAAACTGTCTACCACGAGAATTCTAAGCATGAATCTCTTTCAACGTGCTTACACAGTAGGTTCTAGTAAATACCTGCAGGAAAATAACTACTTCCCCGGCTAATACCACGCTGGACATTGAATTATATCCGATTGAGGTTAGTCTTGCAGAAGTTTTTAGTTCATTCAGCAGAAGGACAAAACTCTAATCAATCGAGTAGATTACCTTCAGACCGGTTTCGGAAGTAAACCTCTCGTTAGTGCAGGAGAAGTCCAACCCAACAAGCAGTGTTCCTGAGACTCAATTATTTTTTCAACGCGGTTCGACTGTATATATAAAACCTTCGTCTAAGGGAGAGATTGTTAACTACTATCAGTTTTTTTGAAGGTGATTGACAATGTTCCATGATGAATTTCACTAGTTCGGACTTCCATTGTCTAATATATAAAATGATTTGAAATCCTTGAAACAAATAAAAGAGAAGAATTGAAAATGAATAGCTGAAAATAACAATTATATTAACCAAAATAAACCTGAAATGAAATAATTGTGAAATAAAATACAAGTAAAAATAGAACAATTGAATAAATTAAAATAAAGAAATGAAAAAGGAAATAAAAATAAAAAGTGGAGAGATTCCAAGTCACGTTAGTTCACGACGTTTTGGTGAAGAGGACCGACACTAAGTGGGAAACATCTGTATACCGAAAACCCACTCATACGGGACAGTATCTGAACCACGAATCCAACCACCATCAATCGACTAAAAGAGGAATCATCAAGACTCTATTAGACCGTGCTTTTAGGCTCTGTAATACGAAGGAAGGTCTCGAGAAGGAACTAGACATCATCAAAAATGATCTTCAACGGAATGGCTACTCCAAAGCGATAGTAGAAAAGACTTTGGCTAGAAGACAGCAGGAGCCTCGCAAGGAAGAGAAGCCGTCACAACCAGTGCTTGCACTTACCTACATCAGAGGATTATCGGAGAAGATAAGGAAGAATTGGTTCCAAGTACAACATCAGAACCTGCTTCAGATCCGGTAACACTATCCGTAGCAGCCTCACAAAAACCAGGCCACCAAACGCGGACTGCGATTCCAAGAATTGCATTTACCGGATACCCTGTGGTGAAACTAAGAGGCCATTGAATGTTCGCATTGCCGAGCATAAAAAACACACACAGCGAGGGGAAACCAGCAAATCAGGAATAGCATACCATGTTTGGACCTATCAACACAACATCGAGTGGTCCCAAGCTGAGATCTTGCACAGAGAGGAACATTGGTTTAGGAGAAAATTCAAGGAAGCCGCATACATGTTGTCCAACAACGTATTCAGCCAAGCCAGCATAGAAATACGCAACATATGGAAACTCATCATCAAGCGAAATGGCCAACTTCCGCCAAAATGGTCATCTCCCACGGAACCAGTGAAGCGGAAAATGAAAAGCGGGGATAACTGAAAGTACTCGAACGACCTATAAATAGTTATCTCTCGGAGGAATCAGTCCAGTCATCACCCTAAGACGATTGTAGATACTAACAATCGAAACGTCGTGAACTAACGTGACTTGGAATCTCTCCACTTTTTATTTTTATTCCCTTTTTTCATTTCTTCATTTTAATTTATTCAATTGTTCTATTTTTACTTGTATTTTATTTCACTATTATTTCATTTCAGGTTCATTTTGGTTAATATAACTGTTATTTTCAGCTATTCATTTTTAATTCTTCTTTTTTATTTGTTTCAGGGATTTCAAATCATTTTATATAATAGACAATGGAAGTCCGAACTAGTGAAATTTACTATCAGTTTTATTTCGAGAACAAATCTTCATTGATTGATTTCAGCATTATCCTGCTGGTGGATGAATTAAAAACATCTGCAAAACTTATTTCTGTGAGGTATCGTACATAAATGTTTGTCGGATATAATCCAATGTCCAGCTTGGTATTTGCCGGGGAGGTAGTTGTTTTCCGGCAGGCATTCACCAGAAAATACTATGTAGATACGTTGGGAGAGATGTTTTGAGATTTCATTTCGAAATATTAATTATCTTATAATAATGAAAGGTTGAAGTGGAACATCTGGCTCAGAATAAATCTAAAATTAATAATTTGGTTGGTAAAACGCACGTCAGGAAGAGTATTGAATAATAACTTTGATACTTCGAAAGTTCCTGTCACAATGAAACCATACGACGTTATCGGTTTAGACCCTTATCGTGAAATATGTTCACTAAACTCCAACTTTTGGTCAAAATCAGCCCTAGGTCCTTGATATCATTGCATCTCTGTAGATATGAAACGTTAATTGCATACGGAAATTTATAAATATTCTTTTTTCGGGCATAGCTCATAGCTTCACACTTCATGAAAAAGGTTTCAATTCATCACAGCTATAACAAGTAACCAAAAAATTCCAACTGATAGGTACTGAAGATTTATACAATTGCAAAAAATAGTTTTGAGTCATCTGCAAAACATAGCCGCTCACATTTCACACTCCCACATAAATCATCAATGATCAGTAAAAACAAAAAGGGCCTAAGTTGGAGCCTTGAGGAACATCAGAAGTAGCTAAATATGTTCTAGACTCGTAACCATTGTAAAAAACAAATTACTTTCTACCTGAATATCCGAATATTTTAGTCTGGTAATTCAGTATTTCTGATGACTTCATTCATTTCAAAATTAATTTTCTCTTCCTATGATTTCAAATTTTTTCGAACAACATTCACCGAGAAACACTGCCAACCACATTCGAACAAATACAGACTATATATTACTAATATGTAGCGCCTCATCATAATCAAAATGGTGGCCTGGAAATAAATGGATCGGAAAGAAATAAACCATTTCTGGTCAGCACGATCCGCAGACCTCAGTCCCTTAGAGGCGTGGTCAACCGAGAGAAACCAGCGACACCTAACAACATGAAAGATAAAGTTATAGAAGATTTTCGTCCTATTACAAGATCAACTTCAATTGCAGTTCGAAGAGAAATTGTGGATGGACTTAACATCTAGGAATACTGAACTCTAAATGTAGAATCGTTTGAACATTGCTGCGATTCAAGCGAATACAAGTGTATTTTGTTCCAGCATTGAATAACAAAATCGTGAATGTATTTAGTTTGGGATAGAAACTGTTCGGTCGGTAGCCGGTCCGTTCGACGTTGGTCCTTTGTTCACTCACTCAATCGATTTCACTTGCTATCGTCTAATCCGTGTTAGGAATCATACGTTAAAAGGTAAAACCTTGTTAGTCCTTAGCTCGCACAAGTTTCGACTTCTGAGGGTTGTCGTTCATATAAGTGCGACAGCTGGTTAACGGATTTTAAAAGTTATTTTTTTCGTGTAATTCAATGTTTATATGAAGTAGCTATCTCGAGAAGACTTTTCTTCCAGTTTGTGTCTGAAAGTTGTTTATTTGCATGATCTACCATCCATGCATAGAGTTACTTATTTTCAAATTGATTACTTCCTTCCTTCAATTTTTGGAAGATTCCTACGTTTTTTTTTGTTTCAAGATGGAGAAAAGTATAAAATCAAAACTTTTTTTTCCAAAAAATTCGAAATAACTACTCTCATTTCCATTTTTACATAACAAAATATGGAAATTAAATCATTTCATTTCATAATTGCCTATACATTTTCAATTATAACTGATAATATATTTACACTGACCCCAATGAGAGACGACAATATTTTTTATTTTATTCTGGAATGGAGTTTAGAAAAACAAAAGCTCAGGTGGACTTCATTTTATTTTTGATGCATTTATTGAAATTTTATCCACAGTAAAATCTGCAGTGGAATGTAAAAAATGTTGCAAGCTCAAAAAGGAGCTACCTGAACCGTAATCTCATGAATGATGTGTTTTTTCATCGCCTGCGTATACAAAAGAATTCTATGCTAACAAACTAAATTGTGTTTTCCAAAGGACTCATGCGTTATTCAAGTCGCAACAGATAGTTATGCATGAGTTGGGTCAAAAAAGGGAATTCTTTTTCATGAAGTATGGGTACGTGTAATTCGTTTTGTTTTATCCTGCAAATCTCATTTTCTCCAACTTTTATATATCCTGAAGTGGAACATCAAGTGAACAGAAAGTTCACTGTTGGTCCTTCACTTTTTCAACAAAAACCTAGAGAAGTTCATAGTTTCCAGTTACAATTCACGAATTTTTGTCAATATTCAAAAAGGTTCATTTTTTTATTAAGTGGGGCCAACTTTGTGATGCTGAAATAATTATACTTTTCAATTCAATAATTGATCCATTATATCATTGAAATGAGAATGAAATTGATATCCTGGAGAAACTTCACATTTTTCTGCGATACTTTCAGTTTCCGTCTCAAACCTACCCATGAATAGGTTCGCTATAAATGGAGACAATGGGTTACCCATAGCCGTTCCTTCACGCTGTTCATAATATGGGCCATTATATTGAAAACAATTTTGATCCATGCAAAGCTTGGTGAGTTGAATGTATTCTTCAACAGCTTCATTTGCTAAGTTGTTCGATTTCAGAAGATCCCTCAAACACTCTAGAGCTTGTGATATTGGGACGCTTGGAAATAAGGAACTCACATCGAACGATACCAATAATTCGCCTTCTCCTAATTTAATATCTTTTATTTTCTCTATGAATTCTTGTGAGTTTTTAACACTCCCATCGGTTGGGCCAATCGGGAGATTTTCAAGTTATTTTGTCAACCATTTAGCGATATTATACGAAGGCGAATTAATTGCTGAGACCATTGGTCGCATCGATTTTCCAGGTTTGTGTATTTTTGGTAACCAATATATCTTTGGTACTGTGGGATTTGAAAGTTGTAGCCTCCTGTTTATAGTAATCCCAAGTTTATAGTAATCCCATATGAACTCCAATACACGAGAGGGTTTCAACAGATATTCGATAAAGTAAATATGAAAGTTGCATATAAAACTTCTCATAAATTGCAACAGCTTCTTGGTTATCCAAAAGATAGACTAGAAAACACAGAAAGGTCGGGGATTTACGAAATCAGTTGTCAGCATCGGCCAGAGCCGACGAGCGATTAAAACCCGCTTCAAGGAGCATTGTGCACACATGAAATACGGAAGGATAGAAAAATCCAGTGTCGCCCAACATGCTCTAGACAAGGACCACAGAATTGGTGGAAACAATCTGAAACTGATCAAGCATGTGCATGACACCAGGCTACTCGATGCATGTGAGAGTCTAGAAATAGCAAAATGTAAAAACAGCATGAATGGCGATATGGGACCCATCCCGTTAAGCCTGCTTTTGAATCTTCTGTTAGGAGGAGAATAATTACTAAGAACTTGCAGGTAGTTAATTACCGAGAAATTCCATATTGGATTTAAGGTATACAACCTCAGGTAACAAATTTTAGTATATAAGGACTAACCAGACTAGATATAGGTATCAATTTTCTTCTCCTGAGGGTGCTAAGTTTGTTGGCGAAACGCGCCAACAAACTGGGTTAACTAGTTTCGTAATCCTATGCAGTAATTTTATTTTCATATTGCTGCTCGAGTTCAACCCATTATCAAAAATTGTAATATGAAACTTCCAAAAAAACCGTAGACCATCTGCGTTACTATCAATTACAACAAAGTTGATGAAGAAAACAGTTAATCAACATACCCTGAACATTTGAAATGCTTCAACATTTCAGGCATTATCAATATGTTGTCCGAAAGACAGAAACATGGTGAGTCACGAGCTGTTACGCTAGATATTCCTAAGGCCTTTGACCATGTCTGGTAACAGGATTTACCAATTGAAACTTGATGATACGGCCTTTCAGATCGTCTTTGTTCATGCATGGCTTTTCAGCATTCTCAAAGATCAAGTAGTCATTGATGGATTAATTTTTGGATTCATTTATCATCAACGCTGATGTTGTCGATGAAACCAAATATCTATGATCTATTTGTATTATATTTTGTTTTGGTAATGAATTTCCCAAACATCAACTGCCAAAGCACATATCTAGTGACACCGAGAGGTTTCACAAACCATTCCTCGAAAATATTAGCTTCCATGTTCTTATAGTTAACATTGCAGTCCTCAATATTTTACTTCCTCCGCAATACCCAATGATTAGTCGCAATCCTTTGTTTGCAGGTATGTTAGGCGTACACATTTTAGAACCATCAGTCCACCCTCTCGTAACTGTGTCGTGAGTGTCATACCAAGTTTCTTCCAAATAGAATATTTGCCGTTGTTCTTGTCTAATTTTTTTTATATTGTTACGCAATTCCACTATTCTTCTGTTTTCCATAACTGCTTGGCGTTTGTTTATTATTTTAAATCTGAATCCTACTTTATTTATCCGTTATGGCCGGAAGTACCAAATTTCTTCCTTATGATTTTAGTTGTAGGAATCTTATTGCTTTTGTAACAGTCATATATTGTTTTATTCAATGATTTTATTAGATGAACGTCTGAAGGTTTTAGTGATCCTGTATCACATCGCGTTTTGCGTTCATAAGTTTTGTTTTTGACTATTTTACGTACAGTTGAAAAAGGAATTTCGGTCAAATCTGATGTTGCTTTTAATATTCTGTTTTCCCCGAAACCAATTTTGAGATGAATATTTATATATACATTGAAATATACTATCTGTGTTTCAATATTCAAATGCATCCAAATCTCATTCACTGGTATCTCTTTTTCGCATTGTTCACCATCGCTATTGGAATCACTACACTGGAAAAGTCAGCGTTGTTATCACATTCGTTATTACTATTAGTACTTGTCCAAGAACGCCTCATTTCAAACAACAAGCACCAATATCGAATTTTTATACTCAAATCACGATCAGTTCCGGAACTGAACACGACGACGATAACCATCCCCGCATTTCCCGATTTCTATTCTTCACCGTAACATGACTTCGAATTTATTTTTATGACTCTTCAGCCAATCATGAAACTTTGTTAGTGAAAATTATCCAATACGAACCGCCAATTGTACAATTCACGTGGACTACTTCGCAGCCGGTTCATTTCTATGTATTGGTTTTTTTGGCCTTGGGTCTTTACTTTTCAGATTGTATATCTGTGATTTCCATCTGTTTGTAAAAAAATGCAATATACATCACTATGCTGACGACACGCAGTTATATTTCTCTTTTCCGCCTCGTGATTCTATATCCATTAAGTCAAATATCGATAACGATCCCCAGGCCGTCTTTGACATTTCTACAGCCCATAGGTTCAAGTTCAAATCTAATGAATCTGCAATGAGTTGAAGAAATAGTTCAGTTTTAGTCATTTCCAAACACAAATATTCCACCTTCAGCCGTTGCTCCTCGTATATTACACCCAAACATTATAATCAACAACTCTGTGATTTTCGATTTCATACAATTGAAAATAAAAAAAGACTATATACCTACTCAACTGTCTAGTCTCTTGTCCGTTGCCGACCTCGGCAATACAGAAAGGAACTTTCTATTGTTATTGTTCAATTATTGCTATTTTCAGGTTGAGTTGAAAAACAGCTTTGGCTGATACTCCGCTTATTCACCTTTATATTGAAAGTTGTTTTTTTCTTTCGTCTGTTTAAATTGTGCTATTTATGGTGGATGAAGACGTATAATTATTTAGGTATACTTAGTTGCTTCATTTGCAAATTTGTGAAACTCAAATAGCATGCGTGATATATGATGAATGATTACCTGTCGATGAATGAACACCACGGATCCAAGCAGCCTCCAAGTACCTCCTTGTCGATCGACGTGAAGCATACGAAGAATTTGTAAAAATCGAATTCCTCGTATAGCAGAAGTTGCAAAAACTTGACCATTGGAACCCAATGTGAGAACTACAATTGACGCTACTACCACTATTAAATCTGGAAAATAATATAATAGTCAATGAGTTTTTCGAAAGAACGGTAGCAGCTTGAGTGTTCAGCAGCTTGAGGTTTTGTGTTGAGAATTTCTACTGATTTTTCAATTAAAACAAAAAAAAATATTTTATGCTTTCGTAAGATCCATTTTTGAATATTGTTCGGTTATATTGGACCCATACTATAATGTGAATATCAATTTGATTGAGAATGTTCAAAAGAAATTCTTAAAGAATTTCAATTTGATTGAGAATGTTCAAAAGAAATTCTTAAAGAAATGCGCTTTTCACTTTAGTATTCAACGAAATGAATATGAGTACAGTCAAATCTTAACCAAGTTGAATATAATATCATTGAAAGATAGGAGAATTTTTATGAATCTAGGAATCATTTGCATATAATGGCATAATATTATTCAATACGTTGCCTCAAGATAAGATTTGCATATTATACAATTTAAAAAACAAATAAAGGAGCTATTAACTTATAAGGGATATTATAGCATGTAAGAATTCTTAGAACGGGATACATTCCTCCTCAAATTAATAGTGAGATGATGAACTGTCCGAACTATTTCATATCAAACAAAAAGATACGAGAAAGCCTGATATTTTTCATATAACTTTTTTCCATACCAATTATGCTTCGAACAGTCCGAATCCTTGTATTCTGAAGCTGGGAAATCAATATCATAATAACTTAGATCTGTTTAATGTATCACTTCAGGTCTTTAAAAATCAATTGAAAATGTTATAGCGTTTTCGAATCTTTTCTTGTATCGACTGGTGGAGAGAAAATTCCTCTCGTCTTGATGAGAATATCTTTTTTGTCTTTGGTGTATAGAATTTGCAATAAACGTTAAGCATAGTGTTTTTTCAAATATACCGATTTGAAATTTCAAACCTGAATGATAAAAACAGCTGGTAGGTTTTCAAAATGAATTTAAATACTTGATACTCAATAGGATTTGGAACATGCTGCGTTAACAATCTCTAAAAAGACACCAATTTGGTACCTATATCTCGAAAAAAACTATATTCAATCGTTGCATCAGATTCATTTGATTATCAATGATGGTGATTGTTTACTGATTGTGAAAAACTCTTAATTATTATATTTTAATATAGGTACACAAGAAACTGTACAGTGTGTGTCATATCCAGTTTCCATTAAAAGTTTTAGATGACCGAGTAAGTTTTTAAAAAAATGTTTAGCATATTGCATTGCATTGCATTGAACTTTTTTGAATTTTTTTTTTAATAAATATATAGAGTGTACCCAGTACAAGATTGGCAAATCGAACATATATTGTTTTTGAAAGGAAGGATATATATTGCTTGCATAATTGTATTTCATTAGAAAATTACTATTGAAATTATATCGGATTATATAGCGGTTAAGAAGTAATATCGAAAAAATAAATGTAATAATCCCAACAATTTCAATGAAAACTCATAAAAGTTAATTTACTCATGGAAATGTTTTGGATATATATTTCTCAGTGGTTACATAATATAAATTATTATTTTAATTGACTTCACTTCTGCAATATAATAATGATATGACTATTCATTATTAGATAAGGATACGAAGGAAGCAGTTTTGACCACATGCCATAACATACAATGAACGATAATTAGACAAACAAGAAAACAGTTCCACTCCCTGAAGATAACAAAAACCAATGTCGAAATATTGAAAAAACACTGTCGTTCTCCTCGATCGCAAAACGCCGTCCTTCTATGGATCTCTTCAATCTTGGGAAAAGAAAAGAGTCACAGGAGGCCAAATCTGGTGATTATGGTGGGTGAGGCATGATCACGATGTTGCTTTTGGCCAAAGAAATACAAACAAGCAATGATGAGGTGCATTATCGTGATGCGAAAGTCATGAATTGTTTTTCCACAATACTTGACGTTTTCTTCGTATTGCTCACAAGCAGCGCATAACTTCAACAACCACAGTAGAATACTACAACCAGTAGGCTCTCTTATCACGTGATCCTCCCGAGTTGCCGGGGACCTTCAACCGCTCTTAGGATGAGATTCTCATCCAACGCGTTCAGTGATGTAGTATCGAAGGATTTGTCGGTGCAACGGACATCGGATTAGTTACAATAAACGGTCGGAAATTGATATTGTGTTCAGCTTATTTGCTGTTGTTATTATTGTTTTTAGATTTTGTGGTTGGCTGTAAGTAATTTACTACAAAATATTTTATAATAACCTTAAATTTCGTTTTTATATGAGCGCACGCCTGTAGTAAAAGAACGAAATTGGCTCCGCACTTCGTTTAGAGGTCACCGAGAACTTTATGAATTCATGAATGAAAGTAGTAGGAGTGTACTCACTGGACATTGGACATTGGTTTCGATGTCATAACCATATTAGTCCAGTCATTTGAGGTTTTATCTGCGGAAAAATTCCTACTGAGCTGAATTTTGGTATACACCTTCATTATGACGTTTTAATGGATATGTGAAAAATAGAGATTGATATCTTGCTAGCTAAAAAAGTTATGAGGGTCAAAGTTCACGAAAATAAGTTTTTCGGGAATATCTCGCGACCTATGGATTGGAGGTCAATAAAGGTTAATATAAAAATTATTCCTCATACGATTATCTACAAAAAAGGTATCTTACATTTTTCTGTAAAGTCAACCGTTTTCGGACTGGAGCGCTGAGAAAACGACTACATTATGATGATGCATTCGTTTCCGCACCACCTTTGAGGTAGAATGCAAGGCGCTTTTTTTTTACATGGTTTCCTCCGTAGGCATAATCCATGTACCGTGATGAAAGATTTTTTTTTATGCTCATTAATTTTTTATTCGTACATTTGTGCAATGTGTTGGATATGGACTTAATTCGTATTGTAAATATTCGTTTATTCGTTATTTACACTAATTCGTTGAAATAGCAATAACGGATCGATGTTAATATACTCAGGGCTCTTCTTGGTATCGTTTGACGGCCGCAATACTCAAATTGTTCGTATAGTTTTTACGATGATTACTGTAAACATTTACAAATGTCACAGTATTAAAATATTCAATGTTACCATCACTTCTAGCGACACTAGCATTTTTTAATGTTTTTAGACCACGTCTAACTGTTACTTCTTCACCACTAGATAACGATTCATTACATACAGAGTGACCCATTTGAAAGCGGGCCACCTCTCTAAAACTGTTATTTATTATCCGATTCAGAAGTTTTTTTTTTCAATAGATAGAGCGTCAATAGTTCTATTAGAGTGCTGTGAAGTCGAAATATAAATAAAATTTTCAAGGCCTACTTCGAATTTTTTTCAAGGTCAAAAATCCAAAAAACATACTAGCGATTTTTTTATATGAAATTTGACGACGCCACTGGATTTGTGATGCTTTCAAATGGTTGTGACTGAAATTTCAAGAT